TTATTGTCTTGATGTTATAGAAATAGAAATTCATATATATAATGAATTGTCAGAAAACTCATGATATGGGGCTGGCAGATGGCATGATGGTTAAGGTACTGGACTTCCACATGATTAACTGTGGTTCAAATCCCAGACCTGGTGACTTACTTTCTCATTTTCCTTCTTTCTCTCTGTGTGTCTCTCTCTCTCTCTCTTTTTTTTTTTTTGAGAGGTTTTTGCTACAGGACACGTGCGCTCGCCAGAAAGACAGAGAGACAGAGAGACAGAAAGCGAGAAATCACCCCCCAGGGGGGATGGCCATGCCACAATCCCTTCTCCTCTACTCTCCTCTTGGGATGCACGCACACGCGCCCGGCATGAGTTTAAGCCACCGGGTCCGGGACTCTAACTGTGGTTGACTATATGGGAGTCCAGCGACATAGCCATTATGCTAACTGCTGGTCCCCCCATCCTGTGTGTTTTTTCAAGCCCCTGGGTCCAGGACTCAAACCACACAGTTGGCCATGTGGGATCCATCTGCCCAACCACCACACCACCAGCTAACCCCTTCATTCTTTTTCTTTGTAAAGAGTATAAATCAGAATATATTAATACCATAATGAAAATATTAATAGGAATTATTTTGTGTATACTGCAGTCTTAGTACCTAGCCAAGGAACATGGTAGTTAGCAGATCAGTAGAGGTTGGGAAAAAGAAGAGGTAGGCCTTTGAAATCATCCATATCAATAGCTGTGAAGCATACGTTGGAGATTATTGACTCTCAACTCTAGATAGTATAGGTATGTCTTGTATTTTAGAGAGATTTTTGCTATAGGGTATGTGTGCTCGCCAGAGAGACAGAAAGCAAGAAATCACCCCCCCACAGGGGATGGCCATGCCACAATCCCTTCTCTTCCATTCACCTCTTAGGATTTGGGGCACACATGTACACGAGCCCGGCATGAGTTTTTAGCCACCGGGTACAGGACTTGAACCACAGTTGATTCTGTGGGAGTCCAGAGATGTAACTGCTATGCCATCTGCTGTTCCCTGTCTTGTATTTTAAAACCTGGTATTATTAGTCCCCTTCCTGGTTACTAAGAATCCCACTGATCAATTACAAGAGTTCTAAAATAAGAAACTGGCTATTTTAATGCATATTTTTTCTGATGCTAGAATCCATGCTTTCTCTACTTTTTCATACTGCTGCCCCTTTACATGGTGAGCCTCCAGAAATAGATTGGCTGAAACTGAAGAGTATCTATGCAGGGTCCTTGCCGTAAGTCTGGACAATATTTGTCTTGGTTCCAGTGGTCAATTCCAGCAGCAGTTGAATATAGAGTCTCAAGAGAAAAGCCTTTGGGACCAGCAGATGGTGTAAAGGTTGCATCACTAGACTCCCTTGTAGTTGATCTTGGTTTGAGTCCCGGACCCAGTGGCTTAAAACACGTTGGATGTGTGTGCATGCATGCCCAAGATCCCAAGAGGAGAATGGAGGAGAAGAGATCGTGGTGTGGCCATCCCCCTGGGTGGGTGATTTCTCACTTTCTGTCTCTCTGTCTCTCCAGTGAGTACATGTATCTTATAGGAAAAAAAATAAACTCTCTTAAAATAAAAGAATGAAAAGGTTTCAGTAGATAAACAGGTTTTGACCATCACAATCTGACATATAGTAGGCATCTCATAAATATTTGTTGAATAAGTGAAACATGAATTTGGAAGTCTTTAGCAAATGAAACTGAGGATATAACTTTTCAGTATTTTTATATACCTATATATTTTTTAGCAGAATTAGGAATTGGTTTCATGATGTTCTTGAAAGTTATGTTTATTACTGATACTTTTTTTTTGCAAAATTGCATACCTTTATTAGAAAATATTTTTAAAGTAGCTATGAAATGCCACCATGTGGCCAAAGACAGAACTTCAGCATAAATTTAGCTCACCAGAGAGAGTAGCAAGGAGGTAGCATAGAGAGGGGGAAGCTACCAGATGTTACGTTTTAGCTAAGAGTTTTATGGGAGTATCATGAATAGTTTGGTCTCTAGAAGGTAGGAGGACTCCAAGGAAGAAGATAAGTGATTTATATAAGGTCATATGCCAGTACGAATAAGAGCCTGAATTAGATTCCAGCTTTATCTGGCTCTAAGGCTGTATACTTAACCACTCTGCCTCCCTAAACCCAAGGATTTGAATTTTATCTTCACCTTATTGTCCAAACAATCCTTTAGGATGTCAGAAATGTAATGGTTCCTCAGATGGCAGACCTGAAGAGTAAGGTTCAAAATTGCACTGCTTCCTATATCATCAATGCCTTAAAAAGCATTTTCACATCAACTCACAGCTTGACTGCCATGTTGTGGTCTGTGTTTGCACTGCAGGAGGTTGTTCAGATTGGAGGTGACACCCCATTTTTCCTGAATTGGAGCAGCACATGTCTTTGCCAGCTCCTTTTGTCTGAGGTCTCCTGTACTTCTGGGCCTGGACTGACTTGGACATCAGATGCTCTGCACCAGGCAGACACAGAGCTAAAATCATCATAGAGCGCCCCCAAACAGGCCAAGGCTCATCTGAGGTCCTTCTGGGATTCTGAGCAAGGTGGGTAGTAGAGAGATGGGTGAAGTCTTGTACGTTGTCTAACCCCAGTTTTTGCTCTAGTTGTTTTAGGATATCCTTCACTGGACTCTGGGAGAAGGGTCAATCTCTTCTGCCCAACTCCAGGTTACCTGATCAGACCCAGTTCAGATCTCTGCTTGCTCAAAGACTCCCCCAACCAATATGTCCTGTCAGGAAGCTTCATGGCTTTATTTCCCTCCCTATAAGATGTTCTCCAAAAGAGAAAGGGAGAGGAGGGAAAGTCAAAGTGCTCTAAGCTGCAATGAGACATTCGTCTTCCTCCAGGTGTGTCAGTCCAGGACAGTCCAACCATCAGCCTAGGGGAGCCTGGTGCTTGTTGCAACCAAAGGCAACCACCCTCGAAAGGAGTGTGGTTTGGATGAGCCCTTCCCTATCTTGCCTAGGCACCAACCCAAGCACCAGGGAGATAGATTGGTTCTGTCTTGTTAAACTGGCACAGCGCTCCTGGAACCTTACTTCACTTTAGCCAGAATTTCAGCCCATCCAGCATCCACCAGGCTGCTATAACCCTAAAGAATGATCAGGAGACTTGAAGAGCTCCCCAAACAGTATCATCAAATGAAAACAAACAAACAAACAAACAAACACATCAAAACAAAGCCAAGGACACAGAACAGCTCCCTGATCAAAGAGACTTGAAATTTATTTGATACATTTTACTCATACTGGAAGAAGGGAATGCCTGGCTAAAATAGTGTTTATTCAACAAAGTTACATCCCATATTATGCTCCCGACTTTGGCTTTTTATCTTGTCTTCGTTAACAGTAATCTTTTAAATGTTATCTACAAATTTGCCAATCTTTTCTTTAAAAATTCATACTTAAAAATTTTATGTTTGAATAACAAATAAGCCTTGTACTTCCTGAATTTCAGTAAGCTTTCACCTATATTTTCTTTTTTGGAATTATTTTATTTAACTTTATTTATTTATTTTTAATTTGACCAGAGAGGGACAGAGAGAGGGAGAGAGGGAAAGTGAGAAAGTAAGCCGCCAGGTTCGGGACTTGAACCGTGGTTGCCCATTGGGAATCCAGTGCCCTTAACCACCACGCCACCTGCTGGCCCCTTGCCTATATTTTCTTGTTATTTTATGGCTAATATTTGTAATAATGGAACTCATCATGTATAAACTAGTGGACTTCATGCTTCAGTGTATATCATAATCACCCAGAAGAGCTCTTTAGCTATGTTAGTTATATAGCCTGCTTCCAGAGTGTGGGTGGGTCAGTGGGGTCTTATGTGGGGACCAAAAACAGCATTTTCATAATGTTCCCTGCTGATTAAGATGTAGATGACTATACAAGGTATTTTGATAAAACATTTGGGATACAATTTATTGTCTTCCATCTTTTTAAACTTGCTTTTCATAACTCTAAAAAAATAAGACTATTTTGTCAGTAACAGAATTTGGACAAACTTACTGGCTCCTTAGGAATAACCAATTAAAAATCAATTAAGTGTTAAAACGTGATGGGTCGATGGGTCAGTAAAACCCCAAGTATGTAGGGTTATCAAGAGGAAAACGTTTTGTTTTTGTTTTACAGGAGAAATGTAATCACAAACATTTATATAGTAACTATTCTATGTCAAGTTCATTTGTAATGTTAGCGCCTTTCCAAGTTTTTCTCCCCACATTTCAGCAAGAGACAGGACTGAATGAAAGTGACTGTAAGGCAGGCCTGCCAGGAGCCTTCAGGGAGAGATCATCTCATGAGGACAAAACCTTATTCTTTAGACTTAGAGCTTAACTCTGACTACGGCGTAGTGTCTTTCACTCAAACTCGTACCCTGGTCCAACTCCCAGAAGGACTCATCACGTGTAACTCCCATGGAGAGGACGGGTGGGACCTGTGATGGAAAACAGAAGGGGCTGTTCTGCTAAGGACTGTGCAAAACTGTGCCCCAGGTAACCTCAGAGCAGTCCCACCTGTTTTCAGAGTCACTAGAAAGCAGAGGCTTTAGAAGACAGTGGGAGCCCAAACCACTGGGACTGCTGGAAACTCAGTGAGGTTTTAGTACTCAAGGACCACAGTGCACCAGCAACACTGAGGGCCAGCAGACAGCAAAGGATCCACAGAATGAGCAGCAGTGCCCAGCAGGCAGGGCAAGACCCAGGGGAGGAGACAGGGTAGGGCTGGACAGCAGAGACCTGGCTGGAAGCCCCTAACTCTGCCTACTGGACTTGCTCCAGAGCACTGGGTGAGTCATGCCTGGCCCTCTCCTAGTGACACATGGTTCTATAGTGAGTTGGGGTTTTGTGCACAGGTGGAAACAAGACCCCGCCAAACACAGCTCAAAGTTAATTGCCTCATTTTTTTCCCCACAGCAGCCCTGGGAGAAAATGTTTTTCCCATGAAAAGATTGAGTCTTAAGCAACTGTAACTGTAATAATTGCCAGTTTTATTCCTCTGGCTAAGAGAGTCAGAGGTAATTTGAGGTTTACAATTCTTTTTTATAGTTCTTTCATCAAGAGGTTAGGTGCCCCCATTGCCCTTATAACCTTGTTGCAAATTATTTTACTTTTAATTGTTAAAAAAACCCTTTTTGTGTGTGACCTGTGTTCATTTAAAAATACGTAAGTGGAAAGTAAAAAAAGAAAAGAAACTTCAAACCACACAGAAATTAAACATGGTTAAGTTTTAGAAATATGTATATATGTAGACACACACAATTTGGAATTTTATCCTACCTAAGTGAGCTGATACTAAATATGATGCTTTATAATCTATTGTTTTACATTACATTATGGAATGAATATATTTCCATGCATATGTGTAAAACTTCCCAATTGAAAAAACAGACCTGGAAAATGGGCCAAAATCCAAAATCCAACAAGTTGCTGGTAACAAGGAAACTACCTAAAACAAAATTCCACTGGATGATTAAAAGTAAAATTAAGGTCAAAGATACGTCAGAAAATGCTAACAGAAAGAAAGCAGGGGCCAGATTTTAGTATCAGACAAAAAAGAACTCAAGGCCTAAAGCACACTGGATAAGGACTGCTGCGTGAATGTCTTTGCTTCCAATGCACCATCACGAACTTGTTTCTCACTCTTCTTATCTCTTCCCTAAGCCTTTCCAACTCGTCTACTCCTCTTATCATTTCTTCAGGGTCCAAATACCTAACGGGAGTGTCCTCTTTCAATCCCTGGCTGGGCTGAGTTGGCCCTGCTCTAAGGTTTCCTTCTGGTTCCTGGTTCACACCATCTTCTTCGGAAGGCTGAGGGTTTCCTTCTGCCTCTTGTGGTACATTTTCCAAAGGGCGGTCTTCCTCTACCATGGGCATGTTCTGTGGTTTTCCTTCACCTTCTTCACAAGATTTTTGCATGTTGACTATTTTTTATTATTTCCTTTTCGAATAAATTAATCCTAGAAAACAAGGAAACAAAATGACTAGGTGCCAAGCAAACAGACCAGCAGCCACAGATGAGTTCCCATAAGAACTGGTCTTTTCTGATTCAGGGCCCTAATAGTCCAAAGTTTTCTAACTAGAGAAGGCTAGTAGATCCTTAGGCTCAGAACTCCCCTGACTCCACCCACTCCTCCACCTCCCTTCCCTCCCAGTCTCACTCCAGCTCCATCTTCTCTCCTCCCGCTACAGCCCACCATTTTCCCAGCAGGCACTGCTACAAGCCTCATCTAGCACTGAAATGGGAGCAGAGCGGAAGAAATTAACTCTTCCCTAGCCTCCAGATTCAAGCACTCCCGCCCTTTCAGACTTTCGCAAGCCATCCCAACCTCCAGCCTCTCACCTGAGACTGCCCGTCCAGTCTCTGGCCTCCCCTCCCCCTTCCACCTCCTCCGGCGCTTAATCCGGATGGCCAGAGGCTGCGGAGACGCTGAGATGTGCTTTGGTGTCATCCACAGTTCCACCCCCAACCCCAGAGAGGCCTGAAGCAATTGCACCCTAACACTGACCTGCAGGGATCCAGGGGATTTTCTTCCCTCACCTTGATTTGTGTCGCGCCCAACAGACCCAGAGTCCTGCAGACAGACAGGAGTGTTTGGTGAACAGACTAGTACCTGGATCAGGGGTCCCTTTCACCATTCTAGGCCTTGTTGGTCTAAAGTTTCCCTCCTCCTCATGCTCTCCCTCCGTTTATAACAATCCCGCCCTCCCCCGTGCCCACCGTTTCTCTGCAAGCAGACTGGAAGAGGCAAGTTTTTTTTTTTTTTTTTTTCGTATTTTTTCTGTTTCTCTTCCCAGACCCTCAATTAGCTAACCTTCTCCCTCTCCACCCGCCACCCGCCGCCTCCCACCAAACAGCCCCAAATTTCCTGCACAAAACGAGAGTTTGACAGAACAGTAGTGCAGAGAAAACAACGCCGCTCTGCTTGCTTTCTACTCTCTGCTCTCCGCTTCCTGGGCCCCAGCGTCTCCGAGTCAGCGCCCGCCTTTTACTGACCTGAAAGGATCCGAGGCACTTTTCTCCTCCAGCAATAGAGAGCTGCTACAGGGAAACAGGCCCTGCACTATAAGGACTTCTGCACACGTCGACTCCTGGTCACGTGAGGGCCGCGTCATCAATGAGCTGAGTCCTCGGTTACCCCTCCCATAAACACTGCAGCCCGCCCCCTGCTTTCCCTCCACTTGATACTGTCAATCTTTCCCCTTACTTGCCAATCAGAGACAGTAAAACTGGTACCTTCTCCCGGAGTAGCCTCTTCGCCTTTCTGAGATTACCAGGGAGGGTCAGGCTCTTAGGGTTAATCGACCATGTTTCTTTCTTCCGGGACTCATTCCTTTCTCTCTCCTGCTTTCAATACGCCCACCGCCTCTCCCCGGAGACCCTACAGTCCACCATTTCCCCTAGAATCCTACTGGACATTAAAATGGGTGGTGCATAGGAGAGGGGGACCTGGAAAAGAATCTAGGAATGAGAATGTGAAGTTTTACAGATCCTCTTGAATAGTTTTCTATTGTGTTCCATGTTTTAAACAATTACCATACTTTCCAAAACTACTTAAAAAGGGATGTCTCATTAGCGATATTTAACACTTAATATGGAGGACAGATTAGTTATCTCATTTTTTAGGACTTCAGAAAGGTTTTTTTCTAATGAAATGACATTGATGTGTTAGAATTTTTTAAAATCTTACTTAAACAAAAACTTTAAAATACTGACTCTCAAATTAATCTGTGTAAACAGGCCCAATTTTCTTTTGTTAACAAAGTTTTAGAAGTAATCCACTATTCTTTCTCTTTTTGTTTGAACTCAAGTTATCAAGTGTTAGATTCCTGGCCTTTTCATAGATGATACTTGGTGGGTTCCACTCAGGCTTCAAAAGGAGGCTAAAAACAGACCTCTTCCCCTCAACTCCTCTGCAGGATCCAGTGCCTTGTTAATCAGAGGAGTCCACAAAAAAAAGCTTGTTTACAATTGAGTGAACTCTGGCACTCAACGAAATATGTTTGAGGGAAATATTTCGTTGTTAGGAAACAAACAATGTTTGTTAGGAAATAACCTTCACGTACTCACGGAACACTCAGAAAGGATAGAGTTCCTTGAATTTCACCACTGATTGTGAGGCTTGTTAGCAGATAGAATTTTCATTTACTCATAGCATTCTTAAGATATTAAAGTGCCCGGACCAGCAGATGGCGTAATGGTTAAGTCACTGGACTCACACGTAGTCCACTGTGGTTCAGGTCCTGGACCTGGTGACTTAAGACTCACATGAGGCACATGTGCATGCGTACCCAAGATCCTGAAAGGAGAATGGAAGAGAAGGGGTTGTAGCATGGCCATGCCCACTGGGGGATGATTTCTCATTTTCTGTTTGCCTTTCTCTGTCTCTCTGGCGAGCACATGTGCCCTATAGCAAAAATATCTCTATGAAAAAAAAAACTGAAAAAAAATATTGTAGTGTCATCTGTTGTGTTCCATTTAAAACAGAACTCTCAATGTGCATGACTGTTATGGTCCAAAGGCAAATAGAATATCACTGCAGGAAAAAAAAAAAAGCCGGAAAAGGAAACTTATATCACTGCAATCAGAAACCAATGGTACTTGGAGATGTGGTGGTGCCTTGAATAGCAATCTGGATAATGGAGCAAGCTGGAAAGTTTGGAGAAGAAGGTAGAAGGGGAGGTCTCTTGTCTAGCTTGGGCATAGTGGGATACCTCACCAACAATAGAGCCTACCAGAGAGAAGAAGGAATTGAAAAAAAAATTTTCTCGCTTAATTTTTAAAAATATTAATTTATTTAATTCCATTTGTTATTATTATTTTTAACTTGACCAGACAGAGACAGAAAGAGAAAGAAAGGGAAAGCAAGAAAGCAAGCCGCCAGGTCCAGGACTCAAAATGCGGTTGCCCATGTGGGAATCCAGCACCTGTAACCACTGCACCACCTGCTGGCCCGCGCACCAGTATGTTTTTTAAGCTGCTGGGTCCAGGACTGAAATCATGAAGTTGGCTATGTGGAATCCAGAGCTTTAACCAAGAGCTGGACCAGCCTCTTCCACTTTCTAGAGGCCACCCACATTCCTTCTGGCCCCACACTCCTTTTGTGTGTGTGTGTGTGTGTATGTGTGTTTGTAATAGGGCACAAGCACTTGCAGGAGACGGGGAGAGAGAGAAAGTGAGAAATCACACCCAGGAGGGCCATGCCACTGTCCCTTCTCCATTCCCCTACCGGGATTTTGGGCACACACACGAGCCCAGTGTTTTATTTCAAGCTGCCGGGCCTGGGACTATATCAGCACAGTTGGCCATGTGGAATCCAGCTGCCTTAAGAGGGATACATTTTCTAATATTTGAGAGAGGAGTTTCTAATATGAATATAGGTAGCATATTATGAAGATTAAATCATTGCCCACCACCAAAAGTTTCTATTCTTTTCACTTGTTACCATTTAGTAGGGAGCAACTCTAATTTTTTAAAGAAAGATTGTTTCAACAGCAAAGTTGACATTCTCTGTGTGTATATATTTCTATGGAGCTTAACTAATGTATAGATTTGTTTGACCACCGCTACAATCAGAATGCAGTTCAACAACCCAAAAAAGCTTCCACATGCTCTTTGTAGTCACATCTTACTTCCTTCCCTAAACTCTGGCAATCACTGATCTTATTCCCCCCCATTACTATAGTTTTGTCTTTTTCAGATAATAAAATTCTATTAAGTGGGGCTAATAGGTGGCATAGTACTTAAGGCATTGGACTCCCCAATAGCCAATTGTGGTTTGAGTCCCGGATCTTTTGACTTGAAAATCACACTAGGCACATGTGCGTGCATGCCTAAAATCCTAACAGGAGAATGAAGGAGAAGGGACTGTGGTGTGGCCATTCCCCTTGGGGAGATGATTTCTTGTGTCTCTCTTTCTGTCTCTTTCTGACTCTCTCCAGGCAAGTGCACACACCCTAGAGCAAAAATGAAAAAAAAAGAAAAAAGGAAAAGAAAGAAAGAAAAACAAAAATTCTCTGAAGTAAAAAGTATTTCTTTTGAAAAAGAAAACAAAAACAAAAAGGCACCCACCTTAATTTAACAGTTAGGACATGAGTTCTGGAGAATATACATCCTGGGCCTCATTCGATGTCCCATTTGGTACACCACACTGGCACCAAGAGATAGTCCCCAAAACCCAAAGTCCTCCAGGTTGTGTAAGAGGAGGAAATAAGAGACAGAATTTTACTCTATTTAGGACTATTTAGAAGCTTTTGATATCACACACAGAAAGACAACTTTGCTAGTGCACAGTCTTTCACTGCCGTTGCTGAATTGACTTCTTAACCGTTTGACACCGTTCGTCGCCACGTGATGATACAGTCAGGGCGCAAAGGAACTGATAGGCATGTACACGGGCATGCTTGACTGCTGGAGGAAGATCGCTGGAGACAAAGGGGGCAAAACTTTTTTCAAAGATGCATGGTCCAATGTTCTCAGAGGGAAGGGTGGTGTTTTTGTGCTTGTCTTGTATGATGTAATCAAGAAGTTCACCAAAGTTATATCCTAGGGTTTTTTCCTCCTGTGAAGAGGCACGTTGTATAACAAATCTTGAGCAGTTTTGACAGCCCCTTGGCTGTCTATCAGTGGCAACTATTTACTGGTTGAAAATGGTTAGCAATAATATTCATCTGACCAGTTTTCTCTGAAAGTTATTTCCGTGATGATGGTGATGGGACTCAATTATATTTTTTATTTCAGTCACTCCTGATAAATAATAAATTTGAAGAAATAAAAACATCTAAAATAAAAAAAAAAAAAACTAAAGTTGCTTCCCACTAAATGGTAACAAGTGAAAGAATGGAAATATTTAGTGGTAGGCAATGATTGAGTCTTCATAACTTGCTCTGTATATTTATATTAGAAACTCCCTTTCAAATATTAGAAAGTATACCCCTCATTTGTGGAATAAATTCTTCTTGCTTAAATATAAATTACAAAACATTAAGCTAGAAACATTTTTTTTTTTTTTGCCAATTCATTTTTCTCCCTGGTAGCCTCTGTTGTTGGTGAGGCATTCTGCTATGCCTACGTGAGACAAGAGACCTTCCCTTCTACCTCTTTCTCCGGACTTTCCAGCTTGTTCCACTGTACAGATTGCCATTCAAAGCACTGGCACATCTCTAAGTACCATTGAATTCTGGTTGCAGTGATATCAGTTTCCTCTTTAAGCTGTTTTTTTTTTTTTTTATAATGATGATGTCATCAATAGTGTTTTCTTTCTTTCTTTTTTAGTTGCCACAGGGTGCATGCATTCACCAGAGAGATGGAGAGAAAGTATCTCAAATAAGACATGGTCACACAGCAATTTCTTCTTCATTTCTCCATCTTGTCAGGATTTGGGGCATGAATGCACATGTGCCTGTACATGTGCTGCTGGAACCAGAACTTCATGGTTAGCCATGTGGGATCTGGCTCTTTTAACCACAAGACAGAGAGAGACAGAGAGACAGAGAACGAGAAATCACCCCCTGGGGAGATGGCCACACTGCAATCCCTTCTCCTCCATTTTCCTCTTGGGATCTTGGGCACGCATGCACACGTTCCCAGCATGAGTTTAAGCCACCAGGTTTGGGAATCAAACCACGGTCGGCTACATGGGAGTTCAGGGACATAGTCATTACGCTAACTGCTGGTCCCTTCATTGCTTTTTCAAAACTTACCCCATAAAAAAACGTGAGCTGATCATTCTTCTCTATCACTTGTCTAGTATGCTGTATATAATTTGAAGACATCCCTCCTGCATGGCAAAATCTGCCCCAGATTCAAAATTTTAATTACATAGAATGGACTCAAGCAAGCAGGCTCCATCTAAGATTATTTGTCCCTTCAGAAAGAAAGCAGATTCAACATGGTCTGTCCCTTTGCACAACTAAAGGTAGCCCACTCACATTTTGGTGCAAGTGGTATGCAGAGAGCCTTGGCTAATTTCTTTATTATTATTATTCTAATGAATGAATTAATTAACATTTAATCATATCTTTTGTTTGTTTGTTTGTTTGTTTGTTTTTAGAGTTTTTTTTTCCACTATAGGGTGCGTGCACTCGTCAGACAGAGAGAGACAGAGAGATA